GCGGAGCCGCCGCTCGGCGCCGGGCCGCGGGCAGCGCCCGCCTGGCAGCGGGAGATCCTGGAGCGCAAGCGGGCCAAGCTGGCCGGGGCGGGCGGCGAGCCCGAGCCCCCGGCCGGGGAGCGGCTGGTGGTGGCGGAGAGCCTGGGCCCGCTCCGCGAGAATCCCTTCATGCGGCTGGAGAGCGAGCGGCGCCGGCTGCGGCAGGGGCGGCCCGGGCCCGGCGGCGCGGCGCGGCCGCTGCAGCAGCTGCTGGAGCTGTACAGCGCCGTGCCCGGCATCCGCACCATCCGCGCCGACAACATCCTCATCATCGAGTCCCGCGCCGACCCCGCCGCCTGCTTCGCCGCGGGGGATGCGCCGCCCGCCCGCCGCCGGGACCCGGCCGGCGCCGACCCGCTGCGGGAGCTGCTGGCCCGGCGCGGCGCCGCGCTCGCCGAGATCCGCGCCGACCAGGTCGTCATCTACGAGACGGCCGAGCCGCCGGAGCCGCTCGAGGCGGCCGAGCCGGGCACCGTCAGCCGCCTCCTGGAGAAGTTCGGGCAGCGGCCGCGGGGCCGCCGTCGCCGCGTTGGGGACGCGCTGACCGGAACCGGCGGGGCCACGGCTCCGCCGCAGGTGGGACCGGGCGCTGCCCGGGCCGCGCCGCCCGCTGCGCCTGTGGGACCCGGCTCCCCCTGCGCCCCCGCGCCCCTCCAGAAGGGACCCGGCTTCCCCCGGGCTCCGGCGCCAAAGGCGGGACCGGCATCTCCGCCGGCGGTCCCGGCCACCCCTCCTCCGCTCCCAGCTCCCCCCCGGGCTGCCACCCCCCCAGCGGTGCCGGTGGCCCCCCAGCCCACAGTCCTGCCGCCGGCTTCCCCCCGGGCTGTCACCCCTCCGCCCACCGCCCCCCCACGGGTTGTCACTCCCCCACCCACGGTTTCTCCTCGGGCTGTCACCCCCCAACCCACGGCACCCCTGCGGGTTGTCACCCCCCAGCCCGCACCACCTCCCCGGGTTGTCACCCCACAGCCTGTGTCCCCTCAGCCCGCCCCGGCTTCCCCCCGGGCTTTCACCCCCGAGCCCGCAGCCCCCCAGCCGGCTCCAGCTCCCCCCCGGGCTGCAGCCCCCCAGGCGGTCCCAGCTGCCCCCAAGGCTGCGGCCCCTCAGGCCAACTGCTTTCTCCACAAGATCAGCTCCAACTCCTTCACGGTCACACCCCGGGGGCAGTCCCCCAGCGCCCGCGTCCCCGAGCCCGGTGCTGTCCCCGCCGGCCGCCCCGCAACGCCCAAGGGGCCACCAGTGCCATCCACCAGCCCTTCCCATGCCAGAGCCAACGCCAGGAGGCCAAAGCCGGAGGAGGCCGAAGTGGCCGTGTCGCCCCTGCCCAGTGCCAGTCCGGCCCCCAGTGCCACCGGCGCCACTCGGCCGCTCTCCGCCTCAGCCCCCCGGGCCGGGGGCTCCTTCGAAATCCACCCGGCCCCCAAACCCGACCTGGCGGCCATCCCAGCCCACGACCTGCAGGCACAGGCTCTGGCCAAGCTGCGCCTGAATTCGCGCAATTCCTTCGTCTTCGTGCCCCGCCGGGAGGGCAGCCCGGCTCGGCCGCCGGCCCAGATTGCCAGGCCAGGGCCACCGCCACCGCCCTCGGAGGAGAAGGCACCCCAGGAGCCCCCGAGGGCTTCCGCCCCCGAGCAGGAAGAGCCCATCACTTCCCCACCGGCGCCTCTGGATCCCTTGGTACCTGTGACTTACATCGATGACATTGTGGAGCCGGACAGCGGGGCTGGCCCGGCTGCGAGGACGGGGAGCTTGGCGGATCAGCCCGGAGGAGCTGGCCCCGACCTGGAGATGGAGTTTTCCTCTGTGCCCCTCTACAGGCCACATTCCGCCCCCCAGCAGAGGGGAGGCAGCACCTTCACTGTCGTGCCCAAAAGGAAGCCCGTGGCCCCGGGGCTGCAGGCTCTCGCCGATGCCAGCGGAAAGCCACAGCGGGAGGAAGAGGAGGAGGAGGAGGAGAGCAAAGGAAGAGGCAAAGCCGTGGAGAACGCTGATGGGCCTCAAGTAGTGATATCCCATAAAAAGCGCTACCCCACGGTGAACGAGATCGAAGTGATCGGGGGGTACCTGTCCCTGGAGAGGTCCTGCATGAGCAAGACGGGCTCGCGCCGCAAGAAGGTAACCGGGCACCTCTGTGCTCAGCAGCCAGGCTGCAAGTGGCCCGGGGCTGCTCTGGGTTTGGCTGCTCGGGAGGCACTGCTGGGAACACGGGCCGTGTGTTTGCCCCTTGTGGGAGCCAGAGGCTGCCCTCAGAGCTGGCTGAAGCAGGGCGTAAAACGGACTCAGAAGTGAAGCCCTGGGGCTGGTGGAAAACAGGAGAGGGAAGGTGGAACTCCACCACACTTATGCGAAGGACATTTCAGAATGGTGAGGAAAGGACCAGGGATTAGTATTTCTTATGGTATCCAATATTAGGAGAGTTTGCAACTCTTTGCAAGCCCAGTGTCTTGTTTGCTTTTACTGTCTCCTGGAACTTTAAAGGGAGCCTGAGGACCGCAGCCGGGAGATGGAACTTGGTGTGTTAAACAGAATTTGTACTCGGGGAGGGGACACTGGGGACTGTCCCACAAAGCAGCTGAGGGTGGGATATGCCCTGTGATAGCTGCAGGGCCTCTCCCACCCCAGCCCTTCTTGGAGGTATGATAATGGAAAGTAAAGTATTTCAGGAATTTAGGAAAGCAGGGGGAGCTGCGTGGTTGGAGCAGCTGTGGGCTCGCTGTGTCGGAGGGGTTGGGCATGTTGAGCTGCCCGTGGTCCCCTGTGGCATTGGAGTCTTCCCCGCATTAGTGATCTATTGATAGAGGCTCAAGAATTAGGTCTTGATTAGGCAGAAAGAGATCAGCAAGAACTTAACTCCCATTGATAGGATTATACCACCTGCTCCTTCTGAATGTGCAGCTACAGCTCTGAAGATCCGGGAGATGCTGATTGCTCCAAATGCTTTTGGAGTGAGCGAATGCCAGATTTTCTCAAGGCTTGGGGAGTAACATAGATCCTTGTGAGCCCTAAATTGAAAATTAATCTTTGTAGAGCTTGGTGAAATGCCTCTGGATGTGATAAGAGGAGTGGGGGAGAGTTTTGGGCTCTGAAAGCAGCACACTGAAGTGGCAGATCCCAACTTTTAGGGCTGTGATGTGACTTGGTTTTCCATAGTGGGAATTGCTGTTGGACATTTCCGTTACCCAAATCCAGGTAGATAACTGAGGGACTGAATGTACATGGGTGCCTGAGGCGCTGAGCATTATAATTTGAGGCAATCCTTTGAGCAGGATGCATCTCATTTGAAGGGAGGCAGGGAGTGCTGCTGTCAAATTCCTCACTAAGCACATGCAGCCTGTGGTAATTTGATGGTGACTAATGCAGGGAGCAAGTCTGGAGCACCTTGAGATCCAGAACAAGCAAATGAGCAGGACTGTTGATTCTTGCTCAGTGCTCCTGAAGTTTTTCCTTGTTTGCCTACAGGGAAATGCTTGGTCAGACTGGAGTTGTTCTGCTGCTAAACACCTGCTGGCTTGCACTCATTGCAGCTGGTTTTGCTCTGTTCAGGTTCAATTTGGGATGTTAACTTGATTTACACCAAATCAGATGTGTGGTATAAATGGTGAAAATATTAATACAACATATTACACTGGTGGGTGCTCTGAGGATGGAGTAGAGGACACAGAGGGAATCTTGTGGGATGGTCATAATTGGGTAAGCCCCACTTCTGATGGAGCTGAGGAGCTGATTTTTCTGAGCAGGGGATGCTGTTGGGGCACAAAGAACAAAGCCTTGAGTAAAACCATTTAAATGGTGCACAGTGGAAGGTATCCTTAACAGTACAAAAGGAGGGAGGGAGATGAGGACAAGTCCAATGCAGTGACTGAATTGTTTTTTGGTCGTCAAACCCAGAGAAGTCGTGGCATGTCCAGCCTTGGAGCTGTCTGAAACTTGCCAGGGGAAAGCTCTGAGCAGCTGGCAGGTCAGTCTTGTTTAAGGCAGGAGTTTGGGCTAGAGACCTCCAGAGGACCTTTCCAGCCTAAAATGTCATGTGATATTGGTTAATATCCACCATATCTACTGTTTTGTGTGTCAGTGGTGGATTTGTGTGACATTGGGCAGGTCATGGAGCTTCTCTGCCCCTGTTCTTATCAGCTTAACAGCATTAGCTGCCCTGCTGTGGAGCTGAGGTGCCAAATGCTGCAAGGTGCACACACAGCTGTTCTCTAAGAACTGTATGTGGGGTCGTCCTGCAGGAGAACTTGTGTAAACATTTGGTTTCTGAGAGGAGAGAGATTAAAAGGCAAAGGAGAAACTGCCTGTTATATTTGCAGAACTCAGGAAGCTGAAGCAAATAGGGATCCTTTGAAAAATAAGATGGAACTGAAGGAAAGTAGTGAAGACTCAAGTTTCTGGGTGAAACTAAATGTGGTGTGGGAAAAACACCCATTTTTCTTTCAGTTCCTTCCTGCTCAGTCAAGCACAGAGGATGACTTTGTAGCCAGGGTCTAGAAGATGCTGATGGGGGACAAATGGAAAGATTTCTGTTTACTCTTGACCTAGAGGATGTTTGTGGCTTTACTCTGGGTAATAAGGCTGAGTGTTGATGCCTGAAAAGGAAGGAGCTCGTATTAAGATGCATTCCTTGGTTTCTTCCCAAGAGATCACTCTGTGTCTCCAAGGCAACCAGCCAAAAACAAGAGTTCTGTTTTGTGGCTGTGTCGGGGTTTTCAGAAACTTGATTTTGGCCTGAATTGGGAAGAAACAGACTGTTCTTGTGAGCTGGGAGCTGCAGTTATTTGTTAAAACCAATCCCCTTTCTTTTTTGGGGTGTCAAAACCTGATGCTGGTTTTAGTGAGCAGCCTCTGTGTCATTTGGCGGTGAAAAGCCCTTCTTGTGCCAAGCATCTTCCTTTCCAAACCTTGCTTTTGAAAGATCTTTAGTTATGCTCCATACTCAAGAAAGTAGTGTTTAGTGAAACTTCAAGAACTTGGAAAAGTTTAACTGTTTGCTGATGCCCAGCAGGAATCTGGGACATAAACAGCAGGTCAGCAGGATCTGGAAATGCTGTGGATCAATGGCTGGCTGTGCAGTCAGGGGTAATGATTTATTAGGAAGGAGGGTGTCAGCCCTGCCAGTTGCACCCCACTGTTCTCTGAGATGCAAATGGTCCTTTTCTTCAAATGTAGAAATTCAGCCTCCCTTTTCCATTCCCATGTGTGGCCACTGATTGCCTGACCATGGTAGCAGTGCCAGCATAGTGGAGCTGATGTGCTCCGAGTCCCCTGAGCCACATCCTCCGTGGCTTTTTGGGAGGGTGGCTGGGACAGGCTGGGAGTGGGTTCCATGCCCCTGAGCCACGTCCTCCATGGCTTTTTGGGAGGGTGGCTGGGACAGGCTGGGAGTGGGTTCCAGCACTGCTCTGCACAGAGGGAGCTCCAGCCCCTGCTCCTGGCTGCTGACAATGCTGTGGGACTTGTGACTTTGCTGTGGCCTGGGGGATGAGCCTGCTTCAAGGCCTTTCAGGATAAACAACTTGATTGCTCCTTCCACAACTTCAGATATGTGAAGCAGCTGTTACTTTGAGGGTTGGAGCTGGAGCTTGGTGAGGGAGAGGAAGATGATGTATGGAAATAAAAAAATCTGTTCCCAGCTCTGTTGTGGAGCTGCTGTGGGGGGACAGGGGCTGTGAAGGTCAGCGTGGGGCTGTGTGAGATAGGACACATCAGGTCTGCAGATGGAGGGCAGAGCCCCAGCCCTGCTCACCCTGGGGGATGGATGTGCTGGAGCTGCTGTGCTCCTGCAGGGGTTCAGGTGCCCTTCAGGGCTGTTCACCTGCTCTGGGGCTGAGATCTCTCCAGGCAGTACCACCAGCAGTTCAGATAAAGCAGTGTGGGTGAGACTCAGTCTGAGAAGTGTGTTTGCAGCTCCAAAGGAATGTGCCAGGAGCTGCTGGGCAGCTGCTGGAGGAGCTGGCTGAGCTCTCAGAGAGGACAGGATACATGTGCAGGGGTGGAAGGAGACCTACTGACCTTTATTCTAAACTGGGAGTGGGGCAGAGGATGCAGCACACTGTTGATGACCTCTGCTTAGGGCTTCTCTTTGTACTCTGTTATGGCAGAGAAGTAAAGGCATGTCAGCAGTGCCAGGAGGAAGGGAAGGCTTTGCTGCAGGATGTGGATCTTTGGGATCTCAGAGGATAACATCTTGCTCATCTGAGCTGACAAGAGTCAGTGGTGGTTTGGTTGCCTGCCAGAATAACATCCAATAAAGCTGTTGGTGAGATAGAAATCTGGGTTTCTGCAGAACATGTGGTTGGTGTGTGGAGTGAGAGTGGGGAAGGACAGAGCACTGCAGGGCCAGCTGGGCTCCCCAGGAGCAGTCACTGGCTTTGGGCTTCAGGCTCTCCTCTGCTTGGAGGCTGGACTCTGCCCTGGCCCTGCTCCTTCAGTGGGTCACTCCTGCAGCGCATCCTGAGTGTTTTCCTCTCCAGGATCTGGTACCTCCTGGAGATCCTGCACGGCAGGTGAGTGAATTCTGGCCAGGCCAGCCAAAGTCCTGTGAATAAAGGATCTGAGAGCCAGCAGACATCAGGTTGTTGATGGATTTAATGTTTTGTTCTTGTCACAGCTGGCAGTTTGCCGTGTGCTGGCAGGCGAGTCGCAGCCCAGTGTGAGCAGGGATTACGGGAACAAGGCTGCTGGGATCCAAGCAGCTGGAGGCTAGAGCTAAATTGTCTTCAAAGATGTTCAGCTGAACTTCAAAAAGTTCCAGTTTACACAAACTTTAGCATGGTCCGTGTCCTAATCTTTTGAGCTGCATAAAGCCTGAATGTGGCTTCCAAATTCCCACTTAGAAGTCTGTTAAAAAATTAGTTTAAATACTCCTCAGTTTTGATCATGGGCAGCAGCTTTGTTGGTCTAACCTGCTGAACTTCCTGCTCTGTAGTTTTCCATTTGTTCAGTTCTGCTGGAGATAGTCTCCTGTGAAAACCAGGTGTAGGTTTGGGATGTTGGCAGAGATCAACATTTGCAGCTGCTGCCTGGACCTGTTTGGAGCAAGTCTGCACAGTGTGGAGTCTAAAGTTTGGTGGCTGCCTGAAGTTTTTTTTTCAATGTATAACACAAGTAAATTAACC